ATATGCCTATGAATCCCAGAAACCATTGTATCTCCTGAGATAAAGGCAAGCTTATTTAAACCAGTACAGGTAGTTTGACGTTACTCCTGGAAAGCACAGATTGTCAGTACAGGCTCCTCCATAACTAGGAGGACAAGATGAGCATGGAACTCCAACTTTGTATGGTGCTTCTCCAATCCAGTTACCCCTGGGGGTGGAAAAGAAAAGATGACCTTAGTGCTATGCACCCTCAAAAACAAGCAAACCAGCTTACCTTTGGGTTCCTGGTCACGATCTCTTGACATGTGGTGACCTTTACCAAAAGAACATTTTTTTAAATGGCACTGAAAGTTGCATCCACTTCTTATTCCATAGTAACTTAGTCTATATTTCTTGGTTTTTAAACACTTCTCTCTGAGTGGGGTATACCTTTGATCCCAACACTCTGGAGGCAGAGGCAGGCAGATTTCCATGAGATCGAGGCCAGCCTGGGCTACACAGCAAGTTCCAGGCCAGCTGGGACAACATGGAGACCCCGCCTCCAAAGAGAGAGAGAGAGACAGAGAGAGACAGAGAGAAAGGGAGGAAGAGAGGGAGAGAGAGAGAGAGAGAGAGAGAGAGCTAGTATTTTGACCCAGAGCAGGTAGGATGGGCCCACCAACATCCTGTCATAGATGGGGGAGGTGCTCACAAGATTCCGCCTCTCCCTTATTGGCAGTTACCAGTTGCTGAAGGAAGGGGAGACTTTTTTTTCAGTGTGTAGTCATGCGTAAGGTGCCCTAATCTACACTAAACCTAAATGAGATGTAGACATGCCTACAAAGCACATTTCTGAAATATGAAGATAACTAGCAAACAAGTGGTTAAAACTTTAGACTTTTCTGCACATGAAAATGTAAATATTAAGTATTTACTAATTAATTACTCAAACTAACAACTGAAATATAGTTTTAGGACTGTCCACCTCCACTTAAGATAGTCTATGATCTGCCTTGAGGAAAAGTTTACTCCAGCATCACTCTGACGACATCACATTCTTATCAAAAATTGGTTCAGGCCTGTCCTCTCATGTCAACCCCTCCTGTGAGCTCATCCTCTCCTTCTCCCATTCTGTAATAATCTCATCTCCCACTCTGCATTGATTTAAAGCTGTAAAGTTTAGAGAACCAGCCTACATGATACTAATATCATATTTTTTCTCTCTATTTTTTCATGATTTTAAACTATCAAGCACACATTTGGGGAACAGAAACATAAATACAATTTTATTTTATGTAATATCATCATATACTATAAATGTACAAAATAATACTTATTGCATAGAGTACAATAATATTCTATCAGTCCGTTGGTATATTAAACATTTTTGCACTTCTATTGTTTATATATATTCTCTCTCTCTTTTTTCTCTTCTGAATTTCTTTTTTCCCCACTGAAAAGCAATGGGAGACTACAAAAACTTCATGTTGAAATAGGAGGAATTATCTTCGACTATCAGTTTAGATTTTAAGTCTTTATTATTTAGGTTCCAGGAAAATGTTTTTATTAAGATCACATATGTGAATGCTAATTCGGTGTCTTAAAAATTTTTTTGTCTTTTTGAGACAGGGTCTCCCTGTAGCCCCAGCTGTCCTGGAATTCACTGTATAGACCAGGCTGGCCTTGAACTCACAGAGATCCACCTGCTTCTGCCTCCCGAGTGCTGGGATTAAAGGTGTGCGCCACCATGTCCGGCCACGGTGTCTTAAACTTGAAACAACCAATCAATAATATTAGAAAATCTATTCTTTCTCCAAAACAGATGAGTTAAGTGAACATTTAAAAATAAACTGTCTTTGGACATTTGGTTACAACCTGCCCAATTTATGTCAGGAAAAAAGGGTAAAATGTACAAAATATGAATCCAAAAAAAAAAAAATCAAACAAAATACAGTTTAAATGCCTTTTTAAAATAATGCTGAAACACTCTGTTTTTCAAATCTCCTTGTAACAATAATATCAGAGGGAGCATCGAGAAAAATCATCATTTTCCCAGCTTTGCAAAAGTCCAGGCCCTGGCCCACTACCATATCAATGAGTAATGTGGTTTGCTCAGAACACACTGCCTCCCTCCCTCCCTATGCTGGAAAAACTAGAGAAAAATCTTTGTTTGAGACTTACTTTGGAAGACATCAAGAGTATCATAAATCTTTTACACATTTTGGTATTTATTCCAAATGGGAAGAGAGGTCTTTATAAATATTGGAACACTTTATTATCTAAAGACTTATTATTATCAAGAAATGATTTTACCAAATGCTGGCATGTGTTTACTGTTCTTTATAAAGAATATTAAAACATATGACTAGAGTTTGTAATCTTTGATACATTTCTATAATATATTTTATGTAGGCCTTAGGATAATGATACTGAATATATTTAATTTGAAAAATAAGAGGAAGAAAGGATTCCCTTCCAGTATTTTGCTTTCCTAGTGCAAAAAGGTGAGCCAGCACTGTAATTCTCATAATTCAGGTTACTGTTTTGTTGATAATTTCCCTAGAAGACCCTTTTCTGATAAATGCCTTTTATTAGCTATTAAAAGCTTATGAAATATAATATTTACAATTGCCATTAGAGAAAAATTATGGCAAGGAGAATGTATTGAGCTCAGGTGTCTCAACTTGGTTTTCTCATTTTTTTAACAGTTTTAGTTCAAAATCCTTGTCCCTATTAAAAGAAACCTTTTCCTCAATCATTATAGGGATGTGGAGACGATGATAAGGTTGAGTATTAAGAACTGTGGTAAGTAATTTTTATTTGTTAAACTATCAAAAACATTTATCTTCTTGGAGATACCTAACATTAGTCAAGGATCCAGGAAATGTAACACAACATGGAACTTACTTTGGAGCATAGTTACAGACCAAATACACTGCACGTCGCCATACAGATCCCCAGACGTTCATGTTTTGGCAAGTATGAATTGCACATCCTATTCGATTAGAAGTGGCCCACACCATCTGTAAAAATAGACCAAAACTTCCTATTATTGCTAAAAATATGAACATATACAAAATAATATATGAATTTTTTAAAAAAACATGAATTAAATATCTCAAGGCACTTAAAATAACCTGTGTGTAATGTGTGCACATGGGACCAAAACATCTCATAGGACACCGGGGGTTGCAATCCTGGGGATATGGAAATGCATAATCTTTCACTTCATCATACCATGGCTTGACCAACTGGAGAATAGAGCGATATCTAGATGTCAAGAGAGAAAGCAAAAAAGAATGTAGTCAGTAGGGTATTTAGTAGACTTGTCTTACATTGTAAATTATCTTTTATAAGATTACCCATTGTGATCCAAGCTCACATCAACCCCTTAGAATTATAATCATCATCTGTGAGAGAACGGAGCATTGAAATGCTTGATGACAACATTCCACAATAGTAGAAAATATTACCCTGTCAATGGGAATAGCTATTCACATTGCTGCCTATGCATATATGCGTGTGCACATATATGTAAAGGAAGATTTTTCTGTATTATCAATTTGCCTATTTATTAATTTTCTTATTTATATGCCACTATATACAACTATGTAAAAACTATGCACCAACACATATACATCACACACATTCAGATGACATCTCCAAAATCACAGAGTTTTTCCTAGGGGAGGAGACAGGACACAGCCTGCATGATTCTTTCTAGGATTCTGTGGGCTCAATGAAAATTATACATACAAAGATAGTGTGTTCCAAAGGTAAGAGAGAAAAACAAATCTTATTAGATCTTTTAAAATAGTTGCATATTATTTTAAGATAGCGAGATACCATTCATTGCCTGATGTACATTTGGTACAAATTTTGATGTTACTTGAAATCAGTATCATTTGCCTTGGATCCCACAATTAGTAAGGTCTTACAGATAACTGCTTCAGAGAAATTACTTCTTACCTTCCAGTTCGTACAGAGAGATTTTGACCCAAAAATCTCAGCAAATAAGAAGGTCCATGGTCCCAAATGCAAGTGGCTGCCCATGCCTCTGCAGATTTAGCAAGATTTTCATCCCAAACCTGTAGGGGTTAAAAATTCCTTCAAGTGAAAGGAACTAAACATCCCAGAAGTTCTTTCAATTCTGCATCCTGACTATTTTAACTAAAGCAAATAAAATTCAGACTAATTTCACTTAAAGTTAATGCAATATAGTTTTATTAATACATGACATGTATATATGTCATATACAGCCACTATCCAGATATCAGATTTTGTAGGTGATAAATTAACCATATCTGCCTATAATTTGAGCAAGTCATAAGATAATCACTGAACTCTGTGTTCATCAAGGTCCTCTTCACAACAAAAAGTGTATCCACTTTGATATACTTTTAGAACAAGTATGTTCAGATTTATTCGAATTAATTTACCCAATCAACAATGCCTAATATTATACTGCAACTTTCAAAGATCAGATTGAGTTATGGTATAATCAGTCTCATGAAACTCTCATACTTAAAATTATTTGAATGTTTAACAGCAATATAAATAATGTTTGGAAGGACTCACAGTTTTAGATTATATGAACTTAACATAAATTATGATAAAATAACTTCATAATACTGTATAATGTTATAAAATAGAATACACATTATGTTTTAATAAAGTTAAGAAAAATAACATTTTCTTGAGAAAGTAAGTTATTAGGATATTATTTATGTGTAGTAAATTTTCAGTAGTTCAGAAAAGGTAGAGCAAAATTTGAATTCTGCTTAGATTTCATATATGTTCATATTAGTCACTGTGTGGATTAGCATTCTCACTTCAACAGCCAAACAGAGAGATAAAGTCAGGCCTTTGTAGATCTGACAAAGTTCAACAAGTTCTGTGAGGACAATGTGCTTTCGAAGTACAAGGTACAAAGGCACAGATAAAGAATACATGCAATTCTTGTACTTAAAAGTTATCCATAAATTGATACAAGATTCTTAATCTCAGAAATTTCATATAAAATCATTTTATCCTGGTACCAAAATAAACATTTAAAACTGATAATCAACTTGTCTAACATTTATTCGTTAATCAAAATAGTGAAATATGGATTTCTGAAATATTGACTGCAGTTCACCAAATACAAATGCAAGACAACACAATTAATTCACAAAAGAATTTGAAATGGTAACAGCATCAAGTTGTACCCCCTGAAAGGTTGTTGGGTAACTATAGTTACTTGAGAAAAAAATCAGGTGCACATTATTTATGTCTTAAACTGTAGTGTACCTTCAGATTTAAAAATATTTTACTATAATCACCAAAATACACTAGCACAGCATGGCAAAAATAGCACTGACCTGAAATGCAAGGATCCTGTGCTTATGGCTAATTCTGCTCCTGAGAACATCAATGGCTGAGGACATGTCAATCATCATGTCTCCCACTTAACTCATCCATAACAAGATGAATGGAGGTTATATAATCTCTAGAGCCCCTTTCATGCTTAGTGTCTCATGACCCAAATATACTTGAGTAGCCCCAGCAACATAGCCATGCAAACCTATACGGTATTGACCATTGACTGGCTCAACCCTGGCCCTTTCTGGATCACAGAGTGAGAACACAGATTTCATGTGGAGAGAAGGGTGCACATGTACGAGTGGGGACTTCTAGATTTTGATATCAGGAGTCTTCCTCAGTTCCTGTCCACCTCCTGAGCTCTTAGATTACAAGTATGTGCCAATGTGCCTGATTTTTATGTGAGTTCTGGGGGATGGAACTCGGGTCTTCATGTATGCATGGCATCATTTTCATAACCCTCTTTCTTTTATCTTAATTTCTCTTTCAGTCTCTCTCTTTCTTCTGTCTTTCTCTCAGTATGTGTGTGTGTGTATAAAGACATCATTTTGTATCTCTTAAATACATATAATAGAAAAAGAAAAAATTAAGTAATTTAGCAATTTCTATAACATACAATCTTAATTTTATGCTCATTCATATATTTTAGATATTGGGTATAGCAAAGGCATAACACAAAAAATTCATACCTGAAAATATCTTAAAATATCCTTTGTTAACTGTTATACGAGATTTTGTTGTATTAAAAAAAAACATTTTTAGCATTACTGAGGCCCAAATATGAGTTTCTATGTAAAAATATCATATGTAATATCATGGAGAAGACAGTTACATGTCAGGTGGGGATAGCTTCTTTCTTTCATTCCCTGCATTTGATATTAGGAAATCAATGGGAAAGATTTTTATCTTCTCCATGCCCCAGAAGGAAGATTCTGGAAATCCAGTTCCTACACAGAGCAACATGGCTTATTTCCACATGGAGATATGATTGACTGTCTCTCCCATGCCTGCTCAAGTGTAGGGCAGAGGAGCTGTGTTCTTTCTTGTCTTTGTCCCCAGACAGGACTCACTCCCACCTTCTAAAAAAGCAAAGGTCAACCTTGAGTAGGGTAAAGTTGAATGAATTTGCCGTCTCTCCATTGGTTACAACTCCCACGCAAAGAGGGACATATAATTTATATATTTACTATCCAGAGGTATTTAAATTCATATATATAATGAAATTTTTGAATCTAGAAAATAACTATCATAACTGCACTTATAAACAATAAGAAATTTTAGCAAAAGATCTGTAGTCTGTAAGGAGTTGTCCAGTATGATATATTCTTTCCTATACAGAAGCCCTAAGTTAGAATAGATGTTGCCAGGTAATCCATGTGAAAGACCCTAACGATGTACAGAAGTTCAAAGAATGGAGTTGTAAATTGCCCAAGCATTTGGATTAAGTTATAAATTTCTGGATTCTTTGTGGGCAGTAAAACCAAAATTCCCAAGCATTATTAAGAGTGATTTCAATACTATACCCTATAGATATATCAACAGAGGAAACTAGGGCACAGATGTGCATTTGTTTCTATGGAATGTCTATGAAAACTACTATTCTCTTTTGTTAGAATAACTAAAGTTATTTATTTAGATTTTCTTCAAAGATATTTGACATTTGGTCTTTCTAGTTCTTGTCTCTCAAATAGATAAGAAATTTTCCTTATTAATCTACTTGCAAACATTTCATTCTTGCTTCTTAAGGATTCAGACAAGCATTAAGAGTTTTATTAATGAATGTACAAAAATATTTACAGAACCAACTAGAAATTGGACATTGTGATTAAAGATCATTAAAATGGCTTATAATGGGATAAAGTATGCATTTGCAGGGCTAGAGTGATTAAAAGAACTGGCTGTTCTTATAGAGGACTGAAGTTCAGTTCCCAGCACCCACATGGCAGCTAATAACCACCTGTAACTTAAGTTACAGGAGTTCTGATGCCCTCTTCTGGCCTCTTCAAACATTTTGTGCATGTGGTACACTTACATATATACAGCAAAACACTTATACACTAAATAAATGAATAAATAAATACTTTAAAATTTGCAAAGATTTATAGGTCTGCCTTATTATCTCAAATGATTTCTTCTGTTCTCTGTGGTTAAGAGCTATTGAATTGGTCATAAATGCATGGAATTAACTTTGAACTGAAACAGTCACCATGGTATATTTTGTTTACAAAGTTAGGGATAGCCTGAGCTGGGCAGAGTATCTTGTATGTAAATCATAAAAAACTGAAAACATTTAGCCTAAGATACGAGGCAGATCCAGAATTCAAACTGATGCCATTTAAATGTCTGGAAGATTTGTGACCTTGAGAGAGGAGTATGGAAACAATGCAGGGTTCTCAAGTTCAGAGATCTTTTGAGCTTGACCTGAAGAAATACAAGACTGAGGCAAAAAATGTTACTGGAATAAAAGTCAGAAGAATTTACTGGCTTTTATAAGTAGACAGAAGAATTAGATAATAATATTATTCCAACACAAATAGAAGGCTATCTTATCAACTGCCCTTAAGTTTTGAAACCTGCACTCTCATGGGACATACTGACATGTCAAGCCATCTTCCTAAATCCTAGCCATGACTTCTGGCCACTAAGAAATAGGGGTAGTCTGGATGGTAACCCTCTTATGTGGGATTTAACACTAAACTTCTTTGGAAATTTTTTAATTCCAAAGGAAAAAAAGTAAGTATGAAAGTGTGCAAAAGAATAAAAGGGTTCAATAATTTGGGATAAAGATTTGTTTGCTTGTTTTTATTAAAAAGACTAAGACCTGTCACAGTAAATATAGTCTTATGTTTTCAATATAAAATAAGTAGGTAAGTCATTATTTCAGATTGTAATTTTCAAGTTGAAAATGATAAGAAAATCTGATAAATTCTTTTAAAAGTTTGGGGTTTTTTTTTCTCTTACATTTTTTTCTTTTATTTTTTAGTACTGTGATATTTAGAGGATGTAAAGAGCTACTATTTCTTGTCTTATATGAGCTACTTGAATGTATGGAAAGGGTAATTATCAAACCAAGTGAACCATTGAAGCAAAAGTTAAATATATTAAATTTAGATATACAGTATAACCATTTAATTTGAAAGTGATAGACACTAAGTAAACATGCTTGCCAAAATATACTATATACATGAAAAGAACAAAATATTAATAAATTGAAGTTAAAATTAAGGAGGAAAAAAGAATATTAATTTTGAACATGACCACAAATTGGAAAATATATTTTGTATGTGGCAACCATGTTCAAAACTACAAAATGTTAAAAATAAAAAGACCACACCGAGGCCTGGAGAGTTGGCTCAGCGGTTAAGAGCACTGGTTGCTTTTGTAGAGAACCTAAGTTTGGATTCCAGCACCCACATGGTGACTAAAAACCTTCTGTAACTCCAGTTCCAGGGGATCTGACGCCCTCTTCTGGCCTCTGTGGGCATTGCACATACATGGTGCACTTGCATATATACAGGCAAAACACTGATATGCATAAAAAAATTTTAAAAGAGGAAAATGTAAAAACACATAGCATTACAGAGACAGATTTATGAATTGGTTATTGAAGTGGATGCTATGGTAGCAGTGGTACTGGAGACAAGCACAGCATGTTTCACAGAAATTCATTTTCTTAGATGTTTGTGTGGACTTTTCTCGTGTTTAGATTTTTAGAAGGCATTTACAT